GACCTGACATGCTTTGTTAAAGATATCCACTCCGCACACCATCTTTTCAAATCTATTAATACATTCACTCAAATATCAGGTCTCAAAATTAATACAAAAAAAAAGCGAAGGCATGTGGTTAGGTAAATTTAAACATAACAAATCTAAACCGTTGGGTATTGTATGGCCATATGACATAATTAAAATTGTTGGTGTGTTCTCATACAACTCGAGTGCTTCATTGAAATTAAATCTGGCGAATGTAACGGAAAATTTGAAGAAAACGCTCAATTTCTGGAAATCTAGAGACCTTACACTCTTGGGTAAGATCCAAATTATTAAAACTATGGCAATTTCAAGACTTCAATACATTATTAACCTAGTGGACATCCCAACCAAATATCTGAAAAAAATTAACACAATGTTATTTATGACACAACATATAAAATTGGTAAAGGTACTTTATTTGGCAAACAACAGGGGAGCCCGCTGCAGGGATCAGTCAAAATACATAGATTAGATCAAATTTCCCAGCAAGCTCCCAAACGTGAAAGTAGTAGCTTTCACTAACTACTGGTAGGAAAAGTAACAGACCTTGTAAATGATAAAACTGGGCAACACCAAATTGTTGCTGGCTGAGTAAATGAAAATACAAATGTAACAAAACACTGTAAAGTAAAACTCTGTAATAAAGACTATAAAAATACAAACAATAATAAAAGATAAACTGGTTAGTGCAGCAGTAGCTGCAGGTTAATAGGTTAGTCATTAGTACGAATTGAGAGGTAGGATACCGCGAAAACTGTACCTACTGGTTGTGTTATTTGCAGAGACAGCGGGCCCTGAAACTGCGTGATGTTATGTGTTACTGGTAAAGGCAGCGGAAGCTGCAATTACGGTACCGGTAGAGGCAGCGGAAGCTGCAACTACATGACAGGTTAGCATTGAGGCAGCCGGGGCTGGCCTGACATGGTAGAAACAGCGGAAGCTGTGATCTACAAATATGGTTGTTACTGAAAATGTTAATAAAATTACAACTGAAATTACATCTTGGGGCGAATGAGGACATTTAAATTTCTATGGAGAGGCCCAGATAAGATTGCAAGGAATACAGTTATAGGTGACACAGACAATGGTGGTTTTCCAATGCCAGACATCTATGCCATTTATGCAGCCCAAAGAATTAACTGGTTGAGACGATTGAGTGACATTAAAGTGTCACATCCATGGAAAACAATCATTTTAGACAAATTGAAACCAATTGGTGGACTCTCAGTTTTATTGAATTGTAACTTTGACCCTAAAGTCCTGCCAGTGAGGTTACCACTGTTCCTTTCAAATATTTTACAAAATTGGGTAATGAAAATAATTTGGAATAACAAACTGATTCATCTGGG